TTCCAGTCTGAATCACCTGAACTGGTTGACAACTCAAAAGGATTTGATTGAATATCTGTACCATATATCACTTCACAGAATTGAATAAACCATGGTAGGCATTGTGAATTCGGTATTTCCACCATACATTACGTTAAACATCCTCAATAAAACTTCATCTTCATATAAAATGTAATGTCCACAAAAAAACCGCCCACAAAAAATATTCATCACGTCTGCCGTTTATTCTGCCAAACAATGGTAAGGCACATAGTTAATACTAGATTGAGTGAAGAAACAATTTATACAGAAAGCTTACTTTGAGAGTTTCGAGGAGTAAAAAACGTGGGCCTGATAAAGCTCACTTTATAATGTTTTGGTTTTGGTTTCAGAGTGTGGAAGATTGTATGATATGGATTACATTCTGCCGTAGGATCAGGTAATGATGTTGCTTTACATTTGATGTTGTTCTAGTAATCATAGAAATATTAATATTAATATTTTTCCAACAATGTTAATACCAATGATCAGTAATTTTTTTAAGTTTCACCTTGAAAAAGTAAAGGATTTCAAGAGTTCGTCTCAATTTTTTTATTTGTGATAACTGAATGGGAAAGCTGAAAACAGGTCCCTCCAATCCAAAGTAAAGACCATCATCAAGGAGATCAACACCAATAAACTGTCCATTCAATCCTTATGCAGTATATAATAATAACATTAAACACCATTCAACATCAACATAAAACTCATATTTATATTTGAATAGTAAACTTACCAGCAAACTGCAATCCAAACACCACTGTTTCATCAGTTGATGCCAATGTTGGGTCTTCCATTAAATAATGATCCAGGATACATTTATTGGTCCGTAACAATTTTGCACGATCACGAACTGCCTTGACTGGTGTTGGAAATCGAGCACATTCTGTATGGCTAAGCTCTATGCCTCTAACTCTATGTACAATTCTCATGTCAATTTTTCTTGATTTAGATGTAACTTTTGACATAGTCTCACCCCTACAAATATACTGTCAGACTAATATAATCATATTGAAGACAAAAATGACATTAATTGAGCACTTACCATCTGAGTTCAACCAGATGCTTCAAATCAGAGAAAACAATGTCTAATATAGGTGCTATCACCTTCATAACATATTCCAATTCAGTCAATTTTTTTCGTTGACCATCTTCATCAATAAATATGCATGGATCTCGTAGAAACATATTAATACTAAAAAATCATCTGTATTAATTTCAGCAATCTAAATCACAGTGACTGATCACAAGTAAATAAATGTAAATCATACATAAAAAGGTAAATTTCAATTATTTGTTGGTTAATGGTTGTTTCTGATTGATCTTTCATCTTATCTAAGAGTAAATTTCGGGCATACACATATTGATAGGCGCAACACAGCTAGGTATGAGAAAGTTAGTATGACCAATAAATTTATATATTATTATTATAATGATCAATAAATTATTTTTAAACATACCTTGTCAATCTGATCAATTAGTTCCTTTGTACTCCCCTCAAACTGCTTTGGTTCCACATTCACATGTTCATACACTTTAGCTTTTAAGAAAGCCCATCCTTCCCCAAACCATGTACACATCCCATTTGGGAATTCTGATGACAGGTCAACAATGAAAGATAATCCAAGCCTGTATCAAAAAATAATCAACACTAATTATAATACTAAATACCTGACAAAATAAAAATAAAAAAAAAATACCATACCGGAGGACACTTAAAATATATGCATTCAAATCCTTTTTGTTTCTTTCTTTTGACCACATCACCATTTTTGCTGTATTTTGTGCAAGGACATCTTTGACCAGTTCCCCATTTTCAAGTTTCCAGTCTGAATCACCTGAACTGGTTGACAACTCAAAAGGATTTGATTGAATATCTGTACCATATATCACTTCACA